GAGAGAGAGAGAGAGACTGATTAGTACAATGAACATTAAGTGTACACAGGAAAAAGAGAGCCATTAGTACTTTTGATCATGTAGTCACATAAATATATTAATTTTTTGTTATATTTGGGTTGATATGCTCAAAAAATTCAACATGAGAATGCTATTTTACTTTTTCTTCAAAACTAGAGCAAAGCACAATATGTGAACAATTTAAGGACAAATTAACACGAAGTCCCTTTAAATGTGAAAATAAAAAAAACGGAGATTTAAAAATAGGATCAGAGATTGAGCAAGAAGAGAGAGAGGAAGAGAGATAGAGAAACTAACATCTTTCTCTTGTAATCTCGGGGGACCATCTACAAGAACAGGTTACATTCATAACCCAGGAAGGTCTGAATGGAATAATAAGTGTACCATATTGATCAACAGTACTGGGGAGGAACTGGATCCTGAACGGAACTAGAGGGAGGGAGAGAGAGAGAGAGGAAGGGAGTATAAAAATAACAAGTGATTAACACAAATTACATAATGACTATCATATTGTTCTGATATAAAAAGGGAAGCGACTATGAATGTACATGTACATGTACATGTATAAATTTTGAAAATTCAACTCAATGCATTTACATGGTAAAATACCTATTTTATTCATAATATTATTATACAGTACTTAAATGCACATTTCTTGCATTTTATCATCTAACATGTATTAGGCTGTCTTTTATGTCTTTAGTACAAGTATACACTATTAGTATAGTCATGTACTGTAACTTAAATGTATAATATACAAATGTACATGCACAGCTATCAACGGATTAAAAATTATTTGGAAATATCGTCACGGTTCATAATAATAAAAAAAGATGATATATTATGAGAGATCAATAGAGAAAAGGACAAGAGGTTTGCTTGCATGTGACTGAGGCAGTACATCGTGTCCATTGACACGAGTCAATGAGACACAGCATTGATAATTAACGTGTGAGCAAGTCCTGATACAAGATATTATATAATAACTGGACTGGAACACACACACACACACCAGTACATGTATATACTTAATGAGAGATGGTACTGGTAGTTATTAGTTAAGTGGAAAGATATAGTCTCTCTTAATGGACACTCTCTATAGCGTACACCTCCATTTAACGGACAGGACCTAGTGTACCAATTACATTCCTTACTGTATAAAATAACTTATAAAAATGTCCATTATATGGAGGTTACATCCAGTTACATAGAAGCTGGTATATCAACACTGATGTGTACAAAAGTACAACAAACAATTGTGTAGTTAATACTAACATACTAACAGGTACAAATTAAGTTATGAGAGAAAAAAATTGAGAAAAAACAGAAGATTTTTTTTAATGATGTACATGCACATATGAGAGGAAACAAGATGATAATTGGCAAGGAAAAAAGTGAAGGATGAAAAATATGTTTGAAATTAAAGTTAAAGGATTCTGCATACACACAAATACATACCTGACATGGATATAAAGAGGCAATAGAATAAGAAATAAAGAGATGCTCAACAAATAACACAAAGCATAAACAAACAAAGCTAATCGTAATTATTATGGTCTAAGTTCCCCACCCAATATAGGCTCAGTCCACACCACATCATAATGAATCACAGTGTCACACTAAAAGCTAAAACAGTCTATGGCCCCTTTGATCCTTCAATTACGTACAAACTGTTGTGTCAAGCCTCTCTCATCACTGCATGAGCTGTCTAGCATGAGTATATACACAGATATATATACAATGATAATGGTAGGTAGGTTATGAACAATATTTATATCTGGTTTGTAAGTCAACAAGTAAAGAAACAATTAGACACTAGGATATAGTAATGGAGTGAGAGAAATCTAGTTTGGAATGAGCTCATTGTATCTTAATATGGGACCTGCTAACACAATGACGTATTATTATTATTATAAAAAACAGAGAGAGAGAGAGAGTGAGTGAGAGTGAAGGTCACGTAGAAATGAGACGTTTAATAAAATATGATTATGTACATGTATATTTTTAGAATTATTTGCAATACAGCAAATTGCAATAATAATTACATTACTACAATTAATAATTAATATAAACTCTCTCCTTCCTAATCATAATTGGCCCCTTCCTTTTAGCAGAGACACAAAATAAACTAATACTAAGTAAGATGCACATGTACATGTACATGTATGTGTGTAGCAATCACTGTAACAATAATAAATGTGATTACGTAATACTTTATTAAATGAAAATTCATCTTGTAACTATATTGAAGCTTTCAAATAATTAATCATAAAATTATACTTGTACATGTACGTTTACATGTACATGTACACGCATAAATTTAAAGCATAACAGCATACAGATATATGAATCCTTCAAATACAATGAGGTGGGAAGATGCGACCATTACATGTAACATGTTAAGATCACATGAGCCACTAGTGCCCACTAGGGAACCATCATTTAGATACTGCATATGCCCACACTGTTAGAAGTGTGACCATCAACAATACACCAGAACTGATAATATCAGCTGAGAGGTTCATGTAATCAACCACTTGATTGATAAACACTTATAAGAGACACAATTTACACTATACACACAAATGAGGGCATTACATGTATACAAACTTAATGCATGATTCCTTGTTTTTAATGTACAGACTAGCTTCTATATAATGGACACTTTGGGTCAAGAAAGTGTCTCTGTTATACAGAGGTGTCCTTTATGTGGAAGTTATTTTATACAGTAAGGAATGTAATTGGTACACTAGGTGCTGTCCATTAAATGGAGGTGTACGCTATAGAGAGTGTCCATTAAGAGAGGCTATACTGTATGCATGTCAATTAATGTACATGTACATTTACTCTTTCTTTTCTCTCTTTCTCTCTCACCTTCTGTAATTTCAAATTGAACTAGCTTTGCTGTTTCTACTCCACTCGATGTCCTTCCAATTATCATCACAGTATGGATCCCCTGAGATAGATTGTGGAGTAAGAGTGGACTAAGAGCTGAGAGAGAGGGGGGAGGGAAAGAAAGGGGGAAGGGAGGGAGAGGGGGAGGGAGAGAGGGGGGAGGAGGGAGGGAGAGGGAGAGGGAGAGAGAGGGAGAAAGAGAGAAGGTAGAATGAGAAAGAAAAAAGAATTTAATGATTAAAATTTAAAGACAGTAGTCTGACCCCACCACCAGGCTCTACAAATAATAAGGAATCATTCACCATAGCTAACAATAGGATGACCCAATATCCATCAGCTGAACTATGTAACATAAAAAAACTCCCAACACAATTACATGTACATGTATATACACATATACATTTTATATTATTTTGAGGCTCCATCTGTTAGATGAGAAAGAGGAGGCACTAGATAGCAAATGAATTAGGCAGACACTTAAAGCTACATAGCATGAAGCCGGTTTGTGTACATAGAGACAAGAAATACCCAGTACGATAGGAAGGCTATATCTTATTATGATAATATTCCATTAATAAGCTATGTTTATTTGTAAAGGTAGTATTAGTCAGATCTTGAAGACATGTGTCTTGATATGTTTCTAGGACAGGACTAGGGCAGATATTAGTCTATTGATATAGTAGTGATGGAGACAGGCTACATGTAGAAATACTACCAGCTAATGCAATAATGAAGGCTCTACATTGCTAAGAAGAGAAAGGATTACCAATGACCAAGCAGATACCCACCACTAACTACCATGTTATATTAGGATTACAGTATAAAATGACACTAACTATTACTTGTAGTGTGCTCTTACTGTATTGAAGGATGTGGTTGCTTGAATTGAAGTGAAGATACCTATAAGACAAGTCCGTGTTGCTTGATAGGGTAATATTAACGTAATTGTCATGTTGATCAGGATAGACTACAGTAGCTGTAGCATTAAGGACTATATGGGAGAAAGATAGAGAAAGAGGGGGGAAAGGGAGAGAGAAGAATTTATGTAAATAAAGATATGATAAAGAGAAAAGATAATTTGAGATTGAACTAATATTGTACTATGTACATGTACATACATACCTGCCAAACTTTGGTCATTGGACAAACACTAAAGAAGAGATTGAGAGAGAAAGAGATAAAATAAAACAAAATTGTATCAAGGAAGGAAGAAATTAAAGAAATACACATACATGTACATTAATTGCACTCTCCCATCTCACCTTCTTATCGTTATTATTAATGCAGTTCCTACACATCCTTTGGTTCCTTGCTCTCTTACATTGGCCAGTCCCATTAATGCAACTACACTCCAGACACTCCCTCTTATCCCTTAAGCTCCACCCACTAAAAACGGCCGAGGCAAGACTTGACACGAGATTAACATTAGCGTCCTTGGCAGCATCTAGCGACCAAACCCCGCCCCCAATGCTAAGCGATAAATCGATGTAAGACGAAAGCGTATTTCCATGAGATGATGTGATTTTGACGGGGGCTTTTAGGATTTTGTAACCACGATCACTAGCATTGAAAACGGTGTACGAATAATTATAGAATCCAAGAGGGATCACGCTCTGGTTGCTAGGATACAGCGAGAAGTTTGTCACGACGTCTAATGAGGCACCACTCCGACCAATCAGATCGCTCAGAAGAGGAAGCGTGAGGTCGTGGTTTTGAGCTAGTACGGTTCGCCCAGTGTCAGCCCCAAGTATGAATGCTTTCTTTACTGAAGGGGAATTTCGAAAAGGAGCATTATCTAATGCAAATTTAAGAGCATCAAAGCCGTCTCCTATGAACCCATTTTTCTTGACTTCTCTCCGAGCCTGGACTATATCGGAAATAAAAAATGAAGAGTTCCATAGCAACCGTGGTTGAATATCGAGGCCACGCCCACCAAACTGGACAATGCTAAAACGATTCCGATTGGTTGCATTGGAGCCGATTCCTTCTGCCTTGAGGTGGTTGTCGATTTTCTCTGCTAGTATCTGAATCCATCGCTGAGGCATTGTTCTTGAGTTTGATATGACGAAGCAGATGTCCATGGAATCAATTGGAGGAGAGAAAGGAGAAGGAGAGAGGGAGAGATGAGGATACTCTGATGAACTAGGAGGAATATGTATACCAGAACTGGTTGTACAACCTAGGAGGGAAGAGAGGGAGAGAGAGAGGGAGGGAGAGAGGGAGGGAGAGAGGGAGGGAGAGAGAGAGGGAGGGAGAAAGAGAGAGGGAGAGAGAGAGAAAGAGAGAGGGAAGGAGAGACAGAGAGAAAGAGAAAACATATTCAATGTACATTGGTAGCACAGCTCATAATATTAATCCATGCTGTATTATTAAGATTCTAATACACCAGTAGCAAAGTATACAGATAGGAGAGGATAAGTAAACAATGTGGTCTCATTTATCCTTTCACAATATGAGAGAGATAAAGAGCCAAGTAATAATAATAACAATAATACAGATAAAATTAATGTACAAGTACTAAAGACCCATTGACAGCCATTAAGAAACAGCACAATAATGATAATGCGTAATAATGTTAGTTTGAATGTATGGAGCCTCTATTGTGCATACAGGCAATAGCACACAGTGCTAATAAATGTATTAGTAGGATATCATATTATTGTATTGCATGAGTGTGGTAGCTGGGTTGGAGAGGGAATGTGTGTTTGTTTCTTGGACTGTGTGTGAGGGAATCGAGAAAAGGTATTTCAGTATCAATCATGTGCTAAAAGACTAACCAATGACACGGTATGCTGCACTTGAGGATTAATAAAAATAATCAAATTTATTGAAATATTAGTATCTTTTTAAAAATCTCTCTACTTTACCTGTTGCTTCTGCTGATCTCTTTGCAATTTTAATAGTTCTATTAGTACCTTTAAATAAAGAAAACAAGGAGATAAAACCAACACATTATCAGTCAAATTTAACAAAAATAATCACTACAACTTCTGTGGACAGCAAAAACTCAAAAACCTGCATGCGTATTTATATCAGTTTTACACTCACTTGGTATCTCATTGGAGCTAGTATGGGCCCTTCCTATGCTGGAGGCAAGGATACAAGATGAAGAGAGAAGAATTGACAAGAGCAATGTGGCACAGAGCCTCATCTTAAGTGCTGCAGTCTATGCTGTAAGGTAGGCTGGAGTACAGTGAATTAGCTCGTTAGTAAAACTCGCGGATGGAGAAAAAAGTGAGCGAAGTTGCAGTTGTTCTTTTGTGAAGAGTATGAAATGAGGAGAGAGAGATTGGTCTTGACTGTCTCGAGATTGAACTGTGAGATCTAGCAAGCGCCAAAAAACTGTTTTTATACACACAGGCGCAGAGCAGGCCATCCAGCCACACCTATAAACCCAGTTTACATAGTGCATTATGCCAGTGTTTTGATGTTGATTGCTATTATCATTACCGCCTTGCTATTATTATTCTGATTAATTTTAGAAATGAAAGAAAGAGAAATACATCGGCACTTCCAATAAATAATGTCAGTATAATAATCATGAATTAGCTGGATACATGAAAAGACAATGAATGATAATAGACACTACTGTAGTAGACACACGCAAGAAATGGAGAGAGAAAGAAAGGCAAGTTTCTAGACAGAGAAAGAAGTCCTACATCAATGCGCTATTTTAATTATAACTTTCTTGCTTTAGTTCATCATTCTGACTATGATTAATTTGCTAGTGTATAATTATAGTCATTTTAGAAAACGAAAGAATACAAAACACTAATAAACACAAACACATTCAGACAATAAATAGAGAGAGCAGCACGTACAAGTACAATCAATAGCAACACAAGAATACCCACAATAGAGTAATACTAAAATTACACACATACACAAATACATGCACACATACACAATCACATAAAGAGAGTTAGAGACTATAATATATATTCTCTATCGTCTTCTCTCCTCTCATTATTATTATATAATACATAGATGATCATAATAAAATTATTGTTAAATAATAAAACTTTGTGAGATTTCTATTTCTTTATCATGGACTCGTTGGCTTTTATTATTCTTGCCCGAATCCTTCAGTTTCTTCAATGGCAAACAAAAGCTTCTCCTTGAGCTGGTCATAACTTTTATATGGAGGAAGATCTAATCTATTGAAACTGTAGGGAAGAGGGAGGGAGAGAGAGAGGGGGGTAGAAATTAAAATGAGAATAAGTGGAAAAGAAAGCTACTTTAAAAGGAAGAGTTGCTGCAGTCCAGTTAAGGAGCACGTAAATAAATTTTATTTTAATTTTAAAAATCATCAAAATTACATGCCATATGATAACAATACCACCTCAGAAAGGCAATACCAAAATCAACTTAAGTATATCAAGTATCAACTGTACATGTACATGCATAAAGCATACACATGTACATGTACAAGTACATGTATGCATAGATGATACTTAATTGGTATGTGACAGTGTGACTCAAGACTAAATGTACTGGCTGTGTTTATACTCACCAGGTATGGCTCCTAGGCAGCCAGGTTTCTTTACCAACTCTATCAATGCAAAACTTTTGAGGACCATTGCTTCCTGCAATAAAAGGAGTATTATTATCATTAAAGTAAAGAAAAAAGAGAGAGAAAGAAAGGACATTAAAGAATGAAAAGAATTAAAAACAATATTGATAATCAGTACACAGTGTATATGTGTGTATTGTTACAGACCCATTAGTTCCACGAATCCACCAACTGGGAGACGACAAGTACCAGTGACAAACTGGAGGAGCCTAACCCTCTTCTCATTATCCATCTCTCTAACAGTCTGAAGGGAGAGGGGGAGAGAGGGGGAGGAAGGGAGAGAGAGAGAGAGGGAGGGTGAGAGAGAGAGAGGGGGAGAGAGGGAGAGAGAGAGAGAGATGAAGATAAAAGTGAGCAGACAAATTTAAAAAAACAGAAAGGGAACAATGACATGATTAAATTAAATCACTACCAAAAATTAATTTCCAACTTGTACATGTACGACCATCACCTATTTTTAAAAATACACGTACACATACACAAAGCACAAACGAAAAAAATATACCAAAACTTAAAAGTGACACAACTCTGATTAATACACGAGAGCGTGACCAACACACTCTTTAATACGATGTTATACAACAAGTCATAAATATGGAACTATATTTGATGAAAAACATGTACATGTAGAAAAATACATTTACGTGTTGGAAAACAAAGGAGAGGAGCTGAAACAACAATTACAAAAGAAATCACATCTGAAAAATGTACGAAAATGCATATATGTACATGTACATGTACACAAGACAAAAAATGTGCAAATTACATGTACGATGACAATTGCTAAAAATAGCGTGATTCTCACACCCTAGGATATAATAAATATAAATGTTGTGCAACAAGTTGTAAATATGGAACTAAATGTAAAATAACAGAATCAGATTTATAAAATATTTCTTATCGTATTGGAAAAGTGCATGTACATATTGAAACCTAATATCATTGAAGCAATTAAAATGTAAGCCACACCTAATTTAAAGGATGAACAAACACGTATATTTACAGTGGACATGCATAACATATTTGTGGAAAGGTTCATTTCGCAATGGCAACTTACATGTAATTTAATTTTAAAATATTTCCTGAGTAAGCAAAATCCAAAGATACAAAAATGTATACATACATGTACACAATACATGTACCTTAATCAACACCTCATACATGTACATGTACTACATGTAAAAGATACATGTATATGTATACAAGTGTACATGTACATGTACACGTGTTATTACATTCATTTTCTATTTACACTGCAAATGAGGTGTGACAAATTAAATCCACAACCAATTCCTCCTTTGTAAATATAAAAATACACAATTACGTGTCCATGTAAATATGTACATGTACACGTACGCATGTACACGTAATCAGGATCTAAATCAAAAGTAATCATTAATCATTTTCAACATCCAGGTACAATAATAACTTTTAATAACCATATCTGACTCCGCCCGATGATGCAATGATGATGCAATCGCTTCGCGGGAGCTCTCCCAGAACAATATAGGGACATGCATTAATTAGAAAATAAAACAGGAAAACGACTAGTACTACATGTACATGTACGGTATAATAGAAACTTGATATCAGCATACAAAGAGATGTACTACATGTAAATACAAATGTACATGTACATGTACATGTACATGTACATGTACATGTACATGTATGTTAGCTCAATTATAAATGTTATATGAGCATAATTATATACTATGAAATAGTATATAATAGTATACAATCATAATGTACATTACAGACATAGTTTGCACGCAATGTAGTCATGTACATGTACATGTACATGTACATGTACATGTACATGTACATGTATGTGCGTACATGTACATGTTTACATGTATACTCTAATTGAGAAATCCAGCTTTTCTTAATTTGGTTGTTCTCTTATAAAAAACAGTCATTTCCTTATGCAACAAAAAACACTTCTAAAAACAATGTACATTGTACATGTACATGTAATGTACATGTACATTATATCAGCGTACAAAGAGATGTACTACATGTAAATACATGTACATGTACATGTATGTTAGCTCAATTATAAATGTTATATGATCATAACTATATACTATGAAATAGTCTATCAATCATGATGTACATTACAGGCATAGCTTGCACGCAATGTAGTCATGTACATGTACATGTGCATGTACGTGCACATGCATTCTAATTGAGATATCCAGTTTTTCTTAATTTGGTTGTTCTCTTACGAAAAAACAGTCATTTCCTTATGCCGCAAAAAAAAACATTTCTAAATACAATGCACATGTACATTGTATGTACATACATGCACATGTATATAATTAACAATGACATGTACAGCTAGTGGGGAGAACTCATTCCCAAGTAGAAGTGAATGACAGTATGAGGAGACACATAATTATTAATCAGTTTTCCAACAATAGAATTTAAAGTTGGTCCCATTGTTATATAGTTTACACAAGCACAAAAGTGTTAACCACAGTTTCATGCAACCCACGATAGCCTTTTACAAATACCTGAGTATAAAAGCACTTGGGTTAATATGAGGTCAAGCATTCAACTGTAGCAATTTCTTTTTTTAATAAAATTTTTGTAAGGGTCATTCTGGCCCTGCAGTATCAACTTTAATAGAATTTCAGCAAAAACTTCATTACACAAGAATAGATGCATACATGGTAAGCAGAAATCATCAATAATACATGTATTTGCATGTCCATCAATAGTTATACAGAGAGTATTACAGTAGATGAATATTAATGGAAGATGTACAGTATTAATGTACATCATCCACATGTACATGATTAACGGATGAGGTGTACAGTTACTGGGCAGAAAATGAGACTCATTTCCAAGTAGAAGTGAATGATAGTACGAGACACATTATTAATAATGAGCTTTCCAACAATAGGATTTCTGCAAAAACTTCATTACACAAGAAGAGATGCATACATAGAATGTACGAATCATCAATAATACATGTACATGTATTTGAATGTACATGTACATGTACGTTCTGTCAATAGTTAATAAGTTATACAGTTAGTATCAGATGAATATTAATGTGCAAGTGATAGGGAAAACACTGAATAGACCCAAAAAGGCTAACGATAATAATTATCATTAACATCATACACCAACAACACACAATTAAGAATACATGTACATGTAATTAAGAATACATGTACATGCATTGGAAGACAAAGGCTCTTATCACATTACCAGACCAGGAAGGCACCCAAAATGGGAAGGATACATAGAAATGATGATTGGAATGATCCAATCTCTGCCATTATCCTACAAACTGACAGTGACATTAACACTGGCTTCAGTTTAAATGAAGTGACTGGAGATTATTATGATTGCATAATAAGAATGAGGAAGCATTTATAGGGGGTCCTGTTAGGGGTGAAATTACAGGCTATACCAACAAGGGTCTGGCTACACCAACAAGGGGTCTGAGACACAATGTAAATCATGTAAATTTATCTGTAAATATAATGTACATGTACTAAGTATTGCAAACTATCAAGTCAATACAATTCAGGCACTATAAAATTTGAGACACTATGTACATGTACACATACTACAGTGTAAGTTATAATAATTATTTTGGTGTAAGAAAGTGTCTCTGTTATACAGAGGTGTCCTTTATGTGGAGGTTACTTTATACAGTAAGGAATGTAATTGGTACACTAGGTGCTGTCCATTAAATGGAGGCCTACGCTATAGAGAGTGTCCATTAAGAGAGGCTATATTCAATAAAGATACGACAGTGGATTATCAACAATACAATCCATAGCGATAACAATTGATGATTAAACACTGCCGAGGATAAATAAATAAGAAAAATTGAAGTTAAAGTATGTTAATTGGTACGAACACCTCCCTTGCTAGCTCAAACTTGGACCTTAATTTTATTCGTAATTCCTATAACTTGATTATACATGTGTAGCTGGTCACAAGGTTTTGACTGGTAAAACGGCAAACAATTGCTTAGCACAAAGTGATCAAATAATCACAACGATTCATCAGAATTAATTACAAATGTACAGTCAAACCTCTCTTAAGGTGGGTTCTCAATATGACGCATTGTTTTTCACGCACTAGCGTCATGACCAGAAGTGCTGTATAAACCAACGGGAGTGTGCGTCAATGCGTCAGAATAGAAATGTTTTTTAATCTGACACATTGATGCATACTCTCATTGGTTTATACAGCACTTCTGGTCGTGATGGACGTGCATGCGTCATATTGAGAACCCACCTTAAGAAGGACACCTGTGGGCCAGCCATCACTGTCCTTTATACGGAGGTGTCCTTAAATCGGAGGTTATCCCATGCTAATCAGACCAGAAAATCTGCCATTTTCTTGATGCGCGTTAATTAGAAAATCCGTTGTGTGGGGCCGTGTCCGTCTGTTGGAGGTTAATTTGTACACATGTAGATGTGTGGGGACAGTAAATCTCGTCCGTTATACAGAATAGAGAGGTTCCGCTATACAGAGGCTCTTTTATACACTACCCAATGGCCTTATGGCCGGACAAGAGCAACTGTACGTTATAGAGATGTGTCCGCTAATTGGGGGTTCATTTTAGAGAAGTTTGACTGTATATCACAAGATTCACTGCCATTCAAAAATGAATATTTTGTCACTGTGTGTCATGTACCGTAGATCAGAAAGTAGTGTGGTAGACAATTTTTGAGTTTTAAAATTGTGCTGTGATTTAATTTTTACTACATAAGACTGTGTCATGTATTATTAAATGTGGCATGTAATTATATGGGTAATTTAATTTTTTTGCGAAATTCTAATCCAGTAAAATTAAAATCACAGTAAAAATTTCCAGATAGACGGTATATTATACAGTACATACTACATTATCATGTATATGTACATGTATTATAATAAAATTTTTGGAGATCAAATCAAATAAAAATGGCACACTTGAGGACCGCTAAGCTAAATACATGTACATGTATGTAATGCAGCAATCTGATTGGTCAATTGCAAATACATGTATGTATGGTAGAATTAATAATGTATAATCATTAGATTTTACTTATATTCAAAAATAAACATGTCACTGTGTGTCATGTATATGTATAATAATTAAATTTCGGGAGTTCAATTAAAAATAGAATATTTAAAGACAACTAAGCTAAATACGAGGGACCAAAAATCTACTAAACTCCCTCTAGATCTAAGAGTGATCATTTCTTTAATATTTGAATGACTTACTTGCCAGAACCATTGTATTTGTTTGGTTCCTCTGGTATAGTTCCGATATATTGTGTTCCTCTCCCACTCATTGACATCAATCTCCTGCATACCACACAACATGAGCTGGGGAGAGAGAGAGAGGGAGGGGCAATTAAATAAGAATCATATTAAGAATTAAGACTCATGTATACATGTAATACAGTACATTTGCAATTGTACATGTATTTCAGGGTTTCCTGCAGAGTTTAGCATAATGCTTAATTGCTTAGTTTTTGTGAGTAGATTTTAAAGTTGCACAAAAATCAGGCCAAAGCCACTTGTACATGTACTATAGTACAAGGTCTTTTGGCCAAATTTTGCCAAAAATGAAAAGGAAAGATTCTCCCCTTTTGACATTTTTTTCTTATGCATAAACAGGCTCTTATGTTGTGTAGAAATTTTGAACTGATTCCGATTAAAATTGGATTTCTTATGAAGTTTTGAAGTTGCTTCAAAATCGAGCCACAGAACCTGAACTACATGCACATACATTTTGCTTCATTATTAGCTACAGTACATGTACATGTACATGGTCAATAATTATTTTTAACAATCCAACAATTAATTTAATTACACGTCTAATTAAATTTATTATTATTATTATTTACTTCCAATTCTCTTTCATCAAATATGCTGATCCATTCAATAGGGACCACCTCCTCAAATCCCTCCATGAAGGATTTCGTTTGGTCCTTCACGCCTCTAGAGAACCGCCACTGAAGCACCAAACTATAATAATGATAATAAGAGGAAGGAACATGTAGATCATGATACTTTCATAAATATATTTTTATTATTTTTTGCTGTAATGTTCAATTGCCACTCGTGGCCATAAATTCAAAACCAGCACCAATTGTTATAATGTACTGTACATGTACATGTACATGTATAGCTACAGCACATTCAATGTACATATACATGCATAAAAATACAGAGTGGAAGGTGTGGCTTACTCAATATATTCATGTTTGTTCTCATCAGTGACCAGTTTATCAGCTCCTCCCTCAACTAGTTCATGACTGTTGACCACACCCAGTACATCATAATCTTGAGCAAAATACATCTCTAAACCACACTCCTCTATATTGTTATCCCTAATGGAGGGAGGGAGGGAGAGAGAGGGAGAGGGAGGGAGAGAGAGAGAGGGAGAGGGAGGGAGAGAGAGGGAGAGGGAGGGAGAGAGGGAGGGAGAGAGAGAGAAACAAGGAGAAAGGACATTAAAGATTGAAAAGATACAATTAAAAACAATATTGGTAATCTTTTATGGTCATTCAAAATACCAAGAACAACCTATTCTCACTTTTAACCAATATCAGTCTTACACTGCTGCTATAGTGTACACAATCAGAACTAATGCCCTGTAGTGTACAATTAGAACTAGTTTACATCAATGCTACAAGGCAGTTTAGCTTAATGTGGTGAAGGATTAACCAAATCAAAGGGGAGATTGTTTACCATCAAACAATACAATATCTAAAACTATTATATTCAATTCTATATACTTTGTATGTGTATAATATACCAAGAAAGATAACAATCTTTAAATGATATGTACACAATTACTGAAATATCTGCTTGAGGTGAAGCTAACAGAAATATAAGTAGTTAAGTACATGTGTACAAGAGCCATTATGCCAAAGAATTAAATATTAAACTTTAAAATTTAATATTAAATAATTAAATATTTAGTGCTTAAGCTACTGACTATTGTAACGTACATGTACATACCACCTTTTTATAGTACATGCATGTATAATAAATTTGATAGTTTTTAAAACTATTGTATTTCCAGACTCACCTAATCCAGACAAGTGAATTGTAGAATTCAGGATCAATGTGTTCCAAATCTTTGAGTGAGAGCTTCTTGTGTAGGAGTTGCTTATAGAAGGCCATACTGAAACCATTGTCTATGAACTTACCATGATATAGTGCCTGAAGGAGAGAGAGAGGGGGGGGGGAGAGAGAGAGAGAGAGAGAGAAATATCACACAAAAAGCACTATACTAGTATACACATGTAGTTACTTCTGCAATTATCAAAAAATTTTAAGGCTAAAAAAGAAATTTTTTTGTGCACTAAAAATTCCTAAAAATTAACCATAGTACCACACCCACAAAAAAAATCAAAACCCCGCCCCTCAAGTTACCATGGCAACAATGCGACCAATGAAACGGAAGTATTGAAGATGTTCGGGATTAACGCCAGAAGCTGGGTTGATCTGTAGCTGATAATTCTTGTCACCGACATATTCAAATAGACAATACATTGGGTTTAACATTTGATGGGAAAGATGGAAGAACCATTCTCTGGCCACGCCCCCGTAATCAAGCCCCTCCTCCCCACGAAACATGATGTAGAGTCGCCGCCTTAAGTCTTGAGACTGAAACCTCATCACCTGAAAATAATAATAATAATAATAATAATAATAATAATAATAATAATAAGAGTACATAATACTAAACTAAAAGTACCATAATTACTGTACATCACTATATGGACTATTGACATTTAAAATGCGGACAACTCAAGAAATTGAAGTCGGAATCAGCTCAAACTTTCTACACAGCATAAGGACATCAATATGTATCAAAAAATGTAATAAAAATTTGGGGTGATTTCGGAGCCATTTTTCGGAAAAAACCATGGGCTATAGCCTTGGGTATTTTTCAAAAATTGGCCTTTTTCTTAAAATGGCCGTAACTTGAATATATTAAGTCGGAATCTGCTCAAACTTTCTACATAGCATAAGAACATCAATATGTATCAGAAAATGTAATAAAAATTTGGGGTGATTTCGGAGCCATTTTTCAGAAAAAACCATGGGCTATACCTTGGGTATTATAATACATTCATTATTATCATCATTAATATTATTATTAATATTATTATTTACTTGTTGGAATGAGTCTTCAAAGATTGTGTCACGAGAGCAGTGGATCTTAATGTGCTGAGGCAATGCATTGTTCTATAATAATAAATAAATAAAATCAAAAATTACATGCACATGTACATGTACAATTACTCAATATAAGTAATAATTTAATTCATAATACAAGCATTAATATGCACATCCATATATGTACATGTACACGTACATGCAGTCAATCACATACATGTACATGTATTATCATAATTAATTATTATCATACACAGGTGTACATGTACATGTATTTCCCTTATTACATCATTATCATGTGTACATGTATCAGATATGGAAAGTGACAGAAAATATCGATTAAGATAAGACTGAGCTTGAGTGTCATTACATAAGAATAGGAAGGAAGAGAAACAACATGTGACACATAAGGAGAGCCATGTGACATACCATATGCCATTAAATGACTACATATACATGTATACAGTCAAACCTGCTATTGTGGACACTCTAAAATAAGGACACCTCTATAATGAGGACAGGTAGTATCAGTCCCAATACAATAGTAACGTGTATTAATGAACCTCTGAAATAAGGACACCTCTTTAATAAGGACAGTTTTATTGGATCCCAAGGTGTCTGGAATAGACAGGTTTGACTGTACATGTACATATATAAGAATAATGTACACGAAGAGATTATTAAAGATAACAGATACATGTACATGTACGTGGTTACTAAACAATGAAAGAAATACACAGCAAGAATAAGATTATATAGTTTCGCTTGTGGTGAGCACTAATTAGAATAACAAATACGAATTTAAAATAGTAAAAATGATCATGAAGCACTCTTTGCCTTATTTTCACGTTATTTCTGCATGAGGGGAAGGAAGGTAGAGGGTCCTTGAGTCATTCATGGTTGGGGTCAAGCACTTCTGATTTGCTCATTTAATAACATTAAACTTAAACATAACTTTATTATACATTATTTTTGGCTTAAGCTACAAGTACAAGCACTTTTGTATTGTTTCAAATACATGTACTTTAAAAGGCTTGAAGTTGATGAGTGCCAGCTGTGTTTTCAATATACTTTATCATTTGTTTATAGACTTATCAGTTTTGGCATTCGTTTTTCTTTTGTTCTGATTTGATATGCCTTTTCTTGTGTTTCAGTGTAAACGAGACCCTTATCGGACTAAAAATATATCCGTTTTACTTTAAAATATATCCGTTTTACTTTAAAATATATCCGTTTTACTTTAAAACGTAGTCGTGTAAACCAGGCCTCAGTTATTTGTGCTTAAGCTATAAACTAAAACTTAAAACAACACCAACCCTGCATGGTGTCAGTACATTATAGAGTGAAAGAAAGATGAAGATGATTGAGAGAGAGAGAAAAGTTCAAAGGAGTTATAACAAAATGTGAACAAAAAGAAAACAATTAAAACAAGAATGCCTACATACGCCTTTCAACAACAAAGAGAAATGGAAAATCAAAACTTGTACACGTACATGTGTATGTTAACATTAAAATTTTTCATAGTCATACAGAAATTTAAATGCAATATGCACGTGCATGTACATGTACATGTACTTACCGAGCACAATGTTCTAAAGTGACCGACTTTCCATTTAAAGCTCCTCTCGTACTGCATGGCCACACCGTACTGACCAATGGGACCACCTCCTTTACCATCATCACTGTATCATTAAAAAAAGAAAAATAATGCATAATTCTAAAAATACATTGCACATGTAATTAAATTAATGAAGAAAAGGTAGTTATATGCATGTACATCTGTTAAGCTCCAAATTTTTATGACCAAATCTAAAATCACAAAATACTATACAAGTCTCTTGCATGTGTTAGTCGATTTACAAAAAACATACATGTACATGTACATCTACGCTTGCGTAAAATTTTTTTGTGTTAGACTTTTGACAAATTTAAAAAGAATTCCAAACCGCAAAAAAGCAGTATTTACAACACATGCCGTATATCCTTAAATAAAAGCCAGATGCAAATAAACGCCGGGTAGCAATAAAATTGAACTATAAATACGCAAATCTAGTTATGAAATAACTCAGATGCTTTGTAGGTACTTCCTTAAGTTCCTGAAGTCATGCATAAGGACACGGGTTCGAATCCCGCTCTGGGCCTAAGTTTATTTTTTCAGTTTTTTTGAGGTCCAAATACCATTTTAGGAAATAGACGCCCGGGCTTTTATTTAAGGAAATACGGTACATTAAACCCTCCCTCTCTCTCTCCCTTCCCCTCTTACGCTGATTTTCTCGGGTCTTGAAAGGTAGTAGTTCTTGAGTTGTGATCCACGAAATACTTCACATTCTGCTCAGTGAACCTCATCTCCCATCCCAGTGGTAGAGGGAGCTGGTCCGTCATTGAGAGTCTGGGGTCCTCCCATTGGGTGGTCTTACTCTTGTGATTGACAAAATATACACGACCATTGGGTAGGAGCCTCTTTTCTGGAATATAATAATATACAAGAGATTACTAATAGTACACTAGCTGGATTAGATCACATGGAAATATACAAGAGATTACTAATAGTATACTAGCTCGATTAGATCACTTGGAAATATACAAGAGATTTCTAATAGTGGACTAGCTGAAATAAATATGTTGCACTAAAATATACAAGAGAATACCAATAGCACACTGATACATTGTAGATCACAAATAGCTAGTATACAGAAATATCCTGGAGTATGCTGATATACATTTATTATATAAAATAGGAAAAGCAGACGTACATGTACATGTACGGTGTACATGTACATGTACAATACATGTAAAAAAATTCAATCACAAGTACATGTACATGTAATTTTTTTTCAAAAATTATTCAACAGTATAACCCTTATTAATATCCCAAAAATGACACTAATAATATCCTAATAATATCCTAATAGTATACTGACTCACCCCAGTTATCAGGTAGTGGTGCAATGGCATTGTTCTTGGGGGGAGGGGCAGCAGTGGATGCTGAGTCAGCAGTACTGCCGGCATCAGGAGGACGAGAGGTACCCAGCAAGAACCGCTGGGAGTGCTGCTGACTCCTTTCCTGTACAATAGATACAATGTATAAATATTATGCACAGTATATATACATGTAGTATACATAATGTATAATATATTTAAAAAACAAATGTACATAGTACACACTGGCGGATACAGAAAAATTAAAAGGGGGATTCCATTTGACTTAAGTAGGCGTGGCTCATTAATTCTAATTATAATTTGGATGTGGCTCATCGATTTTAATTAATAAAATGGAGGAAAAGTGCTTCAAACTGGCTGAAAAGATACTGCAAAAAGACAACTTCTTCTGTCAAAGGGGGATGAACCCATGGAATCCCCCTAGATCTGGTACATGTACATGTACATGTATAGTATACATGTATAGTATGTAGTAGTATACCTTACTCTAAACATTAATGTCACAGTGCATGTACATGTACATGTATTATACGGTACATGTACATGTAATTCCAAAATTTGCACATAATTAGTACATGTACATCATTTAGTAGGAATCTATAAGAGTGTTAAATTTGGCAATTTGACTCAATCAATCCATTACAAAGACGTTTGGTGATTAAATTGGGAAGAATTTTGACCTTGAGCATGCTGCTAGTAGCCTGGTAGGGACTTAAAATTTAGTGAAAGGATTTAAATTCACCAAAAACTTGGCTCTATCAAATTATGTGCATGTACAGTACATACTACATAGAGTACTCCATTACATGTACATACATGTACATTCATACTACGTGTACATAGAGTACTCTATTACTTGTACAGTAGAAGGCGAAAAAAAGGATAAGTAGCAACAGTAGTACGCAGGTAGTGCGTAGGTAGTAATTTACTTCGTTACTCTTCGCTGCGCTACCCTCAGGAAGTACTGCGGTACTGCCCAGTCACATGTTCTGTAGTAGCAAGCGCTCACGCACTCTAGAGGCTCTCAAATGACTTGTGGATGCTTCTCTTGGCTGTCTGTGCTCTCCAAGTTCATCTCTATTGCTGCTCTTTGCTGTTAGAAGGCTGTTTAGGAGGCTTTTCGCCCGATTCACCGTAGAGCTACTGTCCTGCTTCTGACAACGTGCACTACTACCACTGGTGGGTTTGCGCATGCGCAACAAAAGAGTAGCGAACTACCTACGCAAAAGTAGAGTAGCTACTTATCTTTTTTTTCACACTGTACTGTACATACATGTACACACTACATAGAGTACTCCATTACTTGTAGATTAGCTGTAGTCCTCTCCTGCCATTGCTGATAGTTCCTCAGTGACTCTACTGTCGGTTTCTGCCAGGTTGTGGTCCGAGTGTTGTGATCAACAAAATAGACACGTCCCCTGGGGTCGGTCCTCCTCTCCCAGCCGGCAGGGAGGGGCTCTGGTCTCTCCCAACTGGTCGTACGACTGTTGTGATCTACGTAATAGGAACGACCCTGGGCATCCCTTCTCTCTTCCCACCTGAGGGAGAGAGAGAGGGAGGGAGGGAGAGGGA